TAAAGGGCCTCAGAAAGCAAGTACCTTGAAGAGTTCCAGAAATGGGCGGGTTCTCTCTGGCACACGGATCAGGGAAGAGGGAGTCCCAAGAAGGGACAGGCGACTTCTGGCTTTAGCTTTCTAGACACGTGAAGGCATAATAAAGCAAAACACCCATGTTTTAAAAATATATTTATTTTTCATGAGTAAAAAGAAGTTCAATACTGATAGGAAGATGCAAAGTTGTCCTTTCGTGCATTTGTGGAGCTTTAACTTAGTGACTGCTCTCCCCTCCTGGAGATGAGTCCCTGGACTACAAGGCTGACACCAAGAACCTAGCCTTCTTGTTGGATTTTCCCATCAAGGAACACGTGGAATGTTCTGAAGTATTTCTTACAATGCTAAACCAAAGCCCGGCCTCAATGACCTCGCTGTTGGAAAACTATTATTTGGAACTGCCTGATTTTCATCATCTTGAATTAAGATTTCCTAATAACCTTACTGGAGATTACACCAGATGGCATGCACGCAAACTTGGCTTTAAAATTTTAAATGAAGAGATTTACTGTTTCCAAATGCAGACTGCAGAACAGTTGTAGCAGTTCTGTTTTTGTTTTCCAAAATGAGTCAGACCCTAAAATGCCTGAATATTGAATTCATAAACATCTTAAGAGCGACCTATGCTATACTCTAGGCCTTTTGAAGCTACAGCAGACTGGAAACTGAGAACAGAATGTTGTTATAAAGTACCCATTCCCGAAATGAGGACAGAATGGCATTCTGTGAAAGGGGTGTCTTTCAAAGTCCTACCCACAAGGAATGGACAGTCCACAGGGCTCACCATGATCCCCATCAGGACACCTGAGTTCTTTAACCGATCATAATTACGTCACCGCAAGGACGTTCTTTACCCTTGCAGGATGAAATCAAGTTGTTTTCCTGAAGAAATGCCTTGGATTTTTATTTTAGGACTCCATTAACACACAGAATGAACACCTGAATGAACACTGGAAAACATGGCTGTCATGACATTTATCATGACGTGTTCTCTTGAGGAAAATAAACAGATACATAGCTTCATCCCGACAATTGACCATTCTTCCTCCAGATATTTGCTATTAAGGGAACAAAGTCTGTCTCAAAAATGATATACATAATAGTTCCACCAGACAGCTTAAACATAAAGCAAAGCATAAAGTTTAAACATAAAGCAGCCACTGGAACCTACAGCTTTAGAAAAAAAATTAAATTTCCCCTAGTGCCTACAAGACACGATCAAGCTCTATTTCTAGAGAGGCCTTTCACCAAAGTTGGGACTACTAATTCATTTTTTATACAATGATGTTGAATACATAACCACTACATAGGTCTCAATTAAAAACGGACTCTTTCCTCTCTGTTCTATACCCTGGTGAGAGATGTTACTTAAAATGAAAAATTCTGTAACAGCCCATAACAGTTACCAGTGGGGGCACTAAAAAATTCCAGCAGACACTACAGGCCTCCTGTTTACGCATCGGCTAACAGTGCCCCGAAATCGTGAGTTTCCTAAGGATGAATTACCATTTTATTACAACAGATCCTTGGCGTAAAGTAATGAAGATGGCCAGTGGTGAGGGACAGCACCGTTCAGAGTTTGTATTCACCCAACAGGAGTGTCCAACGTTAGACCTTTCCGGAGAAACTGCACTCTGACAGCAGAATCACCTCCCAAGGATTTATCCGCGTGGTTTGAAGCTTGATATTGTAACACGAGGGACAAAGGCCAGTAACTCCCAATTCGTGAAAGAGCAGCATGGAAGGCTTACCACACAATTAAGGTCTAACGTTAGCGTCACGATTACGTCAGCGTGTTCAGTTCATGCCTCTCGGCAAACAGGTCTCAACTTGACCTGAAAAGACACGCTTAGATCCAGGGCTACCAGAATCCAAGCTTGAAATGAAAATTCCAAACTCCCCCACTAGGCAGGGTGAAGGTGTATGGTGACAAACAGGCCTTTTCATGCACCTGCCTCAAAACGTTAAGTGAAAACACTGCCGATTTCTTTTTGAAAATAATTACCTAACATCAATTACAGTAAAATATGAAAAATGAACATAATTTACAAAACTACAGATCGCCCTCAACTTATGATGGGGTCTCATCCTAAGTTGAACGTGCATTTAACACACCTACCCTAGGGAACACCACATCCTGGCCTGGCCCGCCTTATAGACGTGCTCCAAACACGGACAGGAGCCTCCGGTTGGGCACAATCATCCACCACAAAGCCTATTTTATAAGGGAGTATTGACTATCTCCTATAATGGGCTGAATCCTGTACTGAAAGTGCCAAACTGAACGGCCGTGTGGGCGCAGGTGGCTGTCCGTGTACCACCTGTTGACTCTCCCGACCGCGTGGCTGTCTGGGAGCTGTGGCCTCTGCCCAGCATGGCGGGAGAGGATGGGGCCGCAGATCGCTGGCCCGGACAGGATCCAGATTCAACCCTGCAAGTATGGTTTCTACGGAATGTGTATTGCTTTCACAACATCATTAATTCAAAATTCATTAAGTGGAACCACTGGTAAGGTGGGGACTGTCTCCGTAGATTAAAACATTCAACAGGACTCAAAATCCTTCAAAGCTAAATGTCAAGTGAATAGATGAATTTAAATTAAAGAGAATTTTCAACTGATCCAAATGGTGTTTGAAAGCTTAAATTAACTCTAAATACCTTTACCAGACCTTTATTTACAATCAGTCTGAAAGTAAAAAAAAATATATATAATTATACCGTTCTCAAGGACAGGTGCAATCTCTTCATGGTAAAATATCTTAATTTATATTTTGTTATAAAAATATACAAAATACTACTTTTCACCTTCCCTTCACTCAGTATAAACCCCTAAAAGGTTCGGTAACATCAGTAACATCATACAAGTTGGTCCCTAAGTTCAAATCACATCCATATTTTATCTTTTACGGTCACACTGGGTTTTAAGGCTCAGTATACAGTTTATCTTTCCAACGTACATTTGTCATAATTGGTTTTATATAAGGATAAGAGGGTAAGAATATCTTTAAAAATAGACAAGTGGGATAACCATCTGTCGTATGTTATTTTATCCCGTTTTCTCCAATCATTAAAACAAGACAAAATTGTAGAAACAATCCCCTAACTTGCAGTTCTAGACAGCACACGATACAAAATGTTTACATACTTTTAATCAAGCAGAATAAATGCGAATCTTTTGATTATCCGTCATTAAATTTTTTAAAAAACTATACTTCAGCTGTTGGAAAATATCATCTGACAACTTCAAGTGACAGAATAACGCTGTAATTTTTTTTTTAATGAGGTGAAAAGGACTCGAGTAGCTAAGACCATTTTCAACTAGCCATTCAAAACCACTTCTCCCCCCCAAGCCTCTATTTTTAAAAATAACTTTAACATAACTTTTGGCATTAACTTAAGTTTGCTCACCATAAAAACTGAAAGAAATTTACATATCTGAAATTGATAAACGTTACAAAATATTTAACATGAGGAAGAGGTTTATCTTACAGAATTATTTGGCTATATCATAAGGCAATCAATGAAGACGGAATTTTTCCTATCGTAAGTTTGACGGAAGGGAAATTCTGTAACATGATAATTCTCCATAAATCCGAAAGCTTGTTTGGATACGGCAATATGATCATGCCACGTCGTCACTGAACTTCGACGAAAGTAGTCTGAATGAGAAAGGAACAAACTTGGTGCCTGCACCAACGTAGAACTTGTTCTGAAATTCTACCCTAAAACAAAAAAATTTCCGTGTATTAACGAAAGACTGTAACATTTCCTACATTTCTTGCAACAACATTTATAAGTTAAGAAAAAAACCCAAACAGCTCCTGTGCTGAAGCTGCTTCGTTCCGTACGTGCTCTCTTGGCACACGTGTCATTACTTAAATAAGATACACACAGACACACACACAGCCTGCCCGTGTCGCCCTCCTCGACGTGTAACGGAAACGCGAACCCGTCATGACCCCTCACACGCTACACGCGTACACACGAGTATTCAGAACCTCTCTCCCCACCCGGGTACCTTCATACACAGACAAGCAATCCGACATACGCTGTAAACCATCACGAAATACGGAAGAATTTTATTTTGTTTTACAATGAGGTAACCTGTCAGGCCTCAGATAAATTCAAAGTATTAAACATACACGGTTATTAAGTGCCGGCATTTTGTGGGGTTATTTATACACGTGGGGAGAGGGGTCCAATATTTTTTAAATAGCAGTTCCAAAGCTAACTTGCATACTCACCAGTGGAGGCGTATGGCGTGGAGAAACGCAGAAAGGCCTTCCATGATCAAAAGGATGAAAATTGTCAACACTGCAAAGAGAGCGATTACTGGTAGCAGCAGCAAGACTCCGTAAGTGGTGTCTACCCGGAGGCCCACGCGCACCAGCATGGTCCACAGGACGTCAGACAGCTCTGCGGGGGAGTCATTCGGCAGGGTTAACTTCTGTTTACGTCCACGGCGTCGCTGCACTTAGCCAGGGGGACTGGGTCTCCTTCTGACAATTCTGAATTAGTATCCACAAATAACCCACACACCTACATAATCTACACGTAACTCATGTAAAAGTCAGCCAGCTCGCGATCACGTCAAACACGGAGGAAGATACGGCACGCCGGAAAACCCAGAGGCCTGCCGCCCCGTGAGAGAGAGGGCTGACACAAACGGGCGAGGCTGTCCCCGCACAATACTGGCTCACGCGGTACCCGAAGGACGGCACTAGGCTTCCCTCGGGATCGTGAAACGTCGCACAGAGCCCCCCCCGGGTTCACCGCGGCACGGTGGGGCGTCTCGGCACAGAGTGTGGGACCGCAGGTCTCGGCAAAAACTTACGTGCGTGGGCCAGGCTAAGAGCCCAGAGCCTCAGGTATGAAGCGGTGTTGGAGATGCACCCCAGACAGTACTCGATGGAATGAATCACTTGGGTCATCAGTATCTCTCCAAAATTAAACTGAGGGAGATCACACAACACTCGTCAGAGTCGCCGAACTGCCCGCATGCGACCACCCACTGCCACGCCTGGCCGCTTTCCGTCCCTCGCTCAGTGGAAAGACCGGCCTCTGGGAGGCTGGGGAGACGGCGCAGGAGCGTGAAGAGCAGCGAGTCAAAGGCCTGAGCTCGACTCACTGCCCCGTCACAGACAGCGTGCCGCCCCGGCTCCCCCGGCCTCAGTTTCCCGTGCGGCACCCGTGTCACAGCCCTCGGGCAGCCCAGTCCGACTCTGGGGCCGGTCTCAGCGACCACGGAACACCTACTGAAACCAGAGACGCTGACCGACCCCGAGCCTGGAAGACTCTGAAGTCTTCAGAAGACAGGTGCGTGTCTGCTGCATAAATGCAGGCCCAACAAGGGGAGACTGTGAAAAGGGCCCCTGGCAGTGAAAAGGCTGTAAAACACTGGGAAAGAGGACTCTAACGCTCCTCCCCGTTCTGCTTTTTGGTTCTCTTATGATCCTATAAATTATCAATCATCCCAAATTAAAACACTACATTACGTAACAATTACAAAATGTTGACCGTCAGAAATTTTGTTTGGCCCTTACTGGATGGCCAAATAAAGTTTCCAAGCAAATAAAGCCGACCAGAGTAGCGGAATCGGCTCTATTCTGTCTGCCCAGGGCTGTGCCGCCCTTCTTTGGGGGCAACTGCTTCTTCCGCCATTCACCCCACACCCCCAGCCACAGCCGTTACGGGCTGAACCGTGACCCCCTCCAAATTCACATATTGAAGGCCTAACCCCAACGTGACTGTGCTTGGAGACAGGGCCTTTTAAGGGGTAATTAAGGTTAAAAGAGGTCACGAGTGTGGGTGTCCTTAGAAGAAGAGACGCATGCCCACGGAGGGCAAGGCCCTGTGATGACACGTTGAACAAGGCAGCCCCCACAAGCCAAGAAGGAGGCCAGGGGAGAAACCAGCCCTGCCAACGTCTTGAACTTGGGCTTCTAGCAGTAAACTTCTCTTGCTGAAGACCCCGTCCGTGGTTATGGCCATCCGTGCAGATGACAGGAGCGGTTGTTGGAACAGGGATGACGAGGGACTGCAGCCAGGCAATCACAGTTCTTCCTTGGGATGCTTCCTAATCTAACAATCAGCCGAGAGCGCTTTTCTCTCTGACTGAAAGACTGGAGAAAATAAGCTCAGGGCTGGCTGTGGCCAAGGTTCCAAAATCGTGGGGCCAACTGGCTTCAGAATATGAAGCAAACTTGCAAAGGAAAACCAACCCAGACTTCCCGGAATTGGATGCCCGGAAACCAATCATCCTGAGGCCAACTCTGCTCCTGTCCTGACGTGAGACAGAAGATTCCCTGTGAAGCCAATGTAATCAGGTCTCCCTCTTACAACTACAAAGTTCTGACTGAGACAAGAATCTCTGGAAAGCAATGCTCATGGCACCTTAAGTCACTTAATATGACAGCATGTAATGTTAACAGTAGAAATCCCACTGTAAAACTGAAACAACAAAATGATAAGCCAAAACCCTTATGGCCAACAATCAAAACAGTATTTGGGGAAGCTTTTGTAACAGGTGTTTTGGGTTTTGAGGGTTTTTTTTTTTGTTTTTTGTGTTTTAAGTAAACTCTATGCCCAACATGAGGCCTGAACTCATGACCTGAAGATTAAGAGCCACACACTCCACCGACTGACCCAGCCAGGCACCCCAAGAGCTTGGCTTCTTGTCTAATGTTATGGACAGTAACAGAGAAGATTACCTCTTCACACATCATTTCTCTATATCCATCTTCTATTTGGTTATTTCCCTCTTCTATGTCTTGGCTTCCCAGTAGAGAAACTTCCTCCTCGCTGTCTTTCCTTACGAGTGTGTAACCACTCTAACAACAACCAAAAGAATACAGAGTCATTGCCTTTAAAATCACAAGGACCTGACAAATCCAAAGTCAGAGCCCCTTCATTTCTCCTAATGATGCGGCTCTTCGAGATTAGAAAGTTGTTTATGAGAACGCAAGCATATCATACCTGTTAGGATGGCTACTATCTAAAAAATGACAATAATAAGTATTGATTAGAGGAACTGGAACCCTTTGTGTACTGTTGGTAGGAATGTAAAATGGTGCAGCCACTGTGGAGAACAGTGCGGTGGTTCCTCAAAATAATCATAGGATGTGATCGAACAACTCCATTTCTGGGCACATATCCAAAAATCTGAAAGGGCTCGGAAAGATTTTTATACACCGTGCTGAAAGTAGCATTATTCACGATAACTGAAAGGTAGAAACAACCCAAGTACCCGTCGATGGATGAACTGATAAGCAAAATCTGATCTATCCATGCAACGGAATATTACTGAGCCTTAAAAAGGAAGAGATTCTGTTACAATCCAGACGAACCTTGAGGACATTATGCTCAGTGAAATAAGCCAGTCACAAAAGGACAAATACTGCATGAGTCCATGAATACGAGGTGCCTAGAGGAGTGAAACTCCTAACAACAAAAGTAGATGGTGGTTTGGAGAGGCTGGGGGAGGAGAGATGGGGAGTCAGTGTTTCATGGGGACAGAGTCTCCATTTGGGAGGATGAGAAAGTTCTGGACGTGGACGGAGGTGACAGTATAGTCTATCACAATTATTTTTAAAGAAATCAAATGAGAAAGTGGACACCCAGGAAAACAGTCTAGGAAGAAATTTAACAAAATGGTAACCCTGGTTATAAGTGCATGATAGGATAGGGCGCTCTTTCCTGTGCGTTCCACGTTTCCTATAATTGAGGGAGGTTATTTAAATTAAACAACACTTTAAAGAAAAAAGTCAAGAAGCCAGGAGGAGGAACAAAAAGCGCTTTGCCGATGACAACAGTGCTGGAGGACCTGGTTCACACCCGCCGCCGGCCTGGTTCGTCCCCGCACGGCCCGCGCCCACAGGCCCGCACAGCGGGCTCCGCAGCGAGCTTCTGCGGAACAGGCGACGCCGAGCTTCCGGATAAAGGGAGCGCCGGCTTTACATCAAGAGCCCAAGACCCTCTGAAAGGTGTTTCTTTACGTCTCTTTCTATACCTACAATCAGGCACCTCCGAACACGCGTCCGGACTCACACTTACCCGGCTCACGCCAAAGCAGCTGCGCCCGTTGTGGAGCCACAGCAAGAAGAGTGGTTTTCCCAAGAAGAGAACGGGAACGGACAGCGCCGTGACGGCCAGCAGCAACCTCTGGACATGCTCCTGTCGCGCAGAAGGGGAGGAAGCCCATTAAAATGAAGGGACGTGCTGGCCGGGTCACTGGTGCGTTTTATGAGTGAAAATCCAGGAGAATGTCTCCTTATTTACAATAACAAGGAACAGAAGGTAAACGCAAAAGCCGAATTGTATTCGCCAGCAGGTCTTTTCCCAAACTCATAGCTGAATTCTAGAACTGATGAGTAACACCACTGACAGAGCGGTAAAATAACACTTTGTTCAGATCAGTGAGGGATAAATAAGAACATTCTAAACCAGAGGCAAACCCCAGCTCGTCATTTCCTAAAAACACTGAAAGAGGACGAATACAAACACAGGCTAGACATTTTTTTATATTCTTGTTTTTATTATTATTATCTTTGTAAAGATTACTTGAGGAACCTAAATAATAGTAAGTGGATTCACTTCTACACAAGAAAAATACTAAAAGAGCATTCAGAACAAAACTGCAAGCCTTTTCTTCAAAAGTCGGCATATTTAAGGGCGCCTGGGTGGCTCGGTGGGTTGAGCCACTAACTCTTGATCTCCGCTCAGGTCATGCTCTCATAATTTGGGAGTTCAAGCCCTGCGTCAGGCTCTGTGTTGGTGATTCTCTATCTTCCTCTCTGTCTGCCCCTCCCCTGTTCGTGCTCTCTCTCTCTCTAAAATTAATAAGTAAACACATTTTTTAAAGTACAGATATTTACCGTCACCTAAAAAGAAATCGAGAGCAAAGCACATTCGCGCTTATACAGCCACTGCAGTCTGTGTGGCTTCATAGGGCCTGGAGGCGGCAATGAAAACAAACGATCGGGCATCACACGGTCCCCCGCCTAGCCTTCCTCCACGGCCAGCCCCATGTGACGCACAGATTCCCAGAGCCGCGTGCACCACGTGGTACGAGCTAGTAGCAGGTATGCGTTAGCATCTCGTACCGCACCACCGACACGAATGTGCCCCGAAATGCAGAGAAACGTGGCGGCCACGGGCAGAGTCCTATCAGAAGTCGTGAGCTGTGTGGTCAAGCAGACCGGGCTAAAATCTGGGCTCCGCCGGCAGCTGTTGTGACCAGGCCTGCCCTGAGCCACCGGGATGACACCACCGACCTCGAGGGCTAGTGTGAGTTAAGAAGAATAATCACAGAGAGCACTTTTCAGGCACACCGGAGACGTTAAATAAGGTAGTGCCCTTCAGTGATCTTCCCGGCCACGGCACCTGAGCACCGCCGAACTCCCGTTGTGCCTTTCTCCCACAATCTACGTCATCCTACAAAAAGGTTCAACAAAATAACAACGAAATCTAATAGAAAAATCACAAACAGGAGAACCATAGGTAAGAGGTGAAGCTCAAACAGTTCAAGAAGGGCACGTGTGCACAGCTCACAGCGAAGCCCACGGTTCCATGAGCTGAGCTTCCAATCGGGCTTACAGTGAACCGAGCTGTCCGTGGAAGGCGGAAAACAAAACTAAATGCTCCATTTGCAGGGTCACCAAAATTAAAAAAACAAGAACAAAACACCTACAGCTTAGGAGAACACAGGTGAGGACAGCACTGAGAAGATTTCTCCGGTATCTCACAGACACTGGGAACACGACACGCAAGGTCCACAGCAGCGTCCTTCAGGAGTGACACTGTGGCACTCGACACAGCACAGAGACCCTCACCGTAATCACAACGCAAGCTCACGTTTATTGAGCACTGGTAGGTGCCAGGTACTTCTAAGTATTTGATCAGATTAACTCTGGACTACAAATTGGGTCCTATTTTTATTCCCATTTTACAGGTGAGGAAACTGAGGCACAGAGGAGTCAAGGTATATGTTCAAAGTTCCCCGTCAAAGAAGTGACAGAGCTAGGATTGCAAGCAGAGCGGTCACCCCCGAGCCCTCACCCCGCCACCGTGGATGTGGTGGGCGTTACCCAAACATACCACTCTAGAAAAGCCAGTTTGCGAGAGGGTCAGTGTGCTGTGGGGTCCAGACGCCGGTTCTGGGATGCCCTGGCTTAGTCAGAGATTGATTTTAAAGCAACTAGAAAAATGGAGGGGGCGGGGTGAGTGGGATTTGCCAGTCCTCAGAAACCCTCCAGTCCATACATTTTCTTCCCACAGTTTTGACGGCTACTGAGTGTTTCCCAGAGCCCCCAGCACACTGTTCAGAGCAGGGTGACGAGCTCTTGTGACAACATACAAAGAAACAGGAAAGCCCCTACATTCCTGGGAGGCCTGCAGAAAGCCCCTTCAATCATCTACTGTTTAAAACAAAAAGGCTACCATCAGGACTTCCTGTAAGCTCACGGGGGTGGAAAAGAACGTTACCTACCTGCCCTGAGTAAAGACCATTCGTTTCACTAGCCGGGAATAAAAACATGTTAATAAATTCAATCAGAATGCTGGGAGCAACTCTGGAGGTTTCTGCCGAATAAACCAGCCACTTATAGACGATCATAAATATAAGGTATCCAAAGATGCACAGCATAAAGAGAAGTTCCGGGACAGAAACCAAATAAATATTGAACTTCTTCCGGAAATGCCTAGAAAAAAAACCAAAATGGAATCGATCAAACCATGAGCAAGTTTGGACTGAGATAAAGAATGAAGAGGGGCACCTGGGTGGCTCAGTCAGTTAAGTGTCTGACTTCGGCTCAGGTCACAATCTCACAATTCACAAGTTCTAGCCCCGCATTGGGCTCTGTACTGACAGCTCGGAGCCTGGAGCCTGCTTCGGATTCTGTGTCTCCCTCTCTCTCTGCCCCTCCCCCGCTCACACTCTGTCTCTCTCTCTCTCTCTCTCACACAAAAGTAAGTAAACATTAAAAAAAAAAAAAAAGACTTAAAAAAAAAAAATGAAGACAAAATTGCTCTTAAATTCTTTGTGACGAGGCCTCTCCCACCAGAACATCCTTTGTCTTATAACTCATACTACTGATTCAGATACATCCACGAAGAAAACAGATGTGAGCACAGTGGAAAGGCTAGTGTTTCACTAACAGGTCCAGTTAGAGGAAAAAGATGCAACGTCTTCCTCTTGACACGCTAGCTCTAGCAAACAAACAAAAAACTTTCCAACTTATAATGAAATAAGAGTATGACAAAAATTACTTCTGGAAACAAATCTGAATGTACATGCCGCATGCCTCCCTCCCTTGAATGGAAAACTCCATGTGGGCAAAACCTGTCTTCTGTCTTCAGCACTACTCAGTCCCTGAAGCCTAAAACAGCGCCTGGCATATCCTCTACAATCAATAAATAGCTGCTAAATAAATGAATCACTGAAACGGTCAAAACCCCGTATGATCACAACACAATCAAATGCACAGCATTCCAGTACACTGGCTGCCTTTAAGGGCAGGCCCATACAGTCCACCCTCAAGAGGCAAAGTTTAAGAATACCAAACTTGGCTTATAAATACTGCTTTAAAAAAAAAAATCTGGGGGCACCTGGGTGGCTCAGTCGGTTGGGCATCTGACCTCAGCTCAGGTCATGGTCTTGCGGTTCATGGGTTCGAGCACTGCGTCGGGCTCTGTGCGAACAGCTCAAAGCCTGGAGCCTGCTTCAGATTCTGTCTCCCTATCTGCCCCTTCCTCGCTCATACTCTGTCTCTCTCTCCCTCTCTCTCTGTCAAAAATAAATAAACATTAAAAAAACTTTTAAAAAATCTGTACTTACAGGTGGTTAAATATTCCCAGAATGACTCCAAAAGTCATGTGAATAATTCCTAAAATCACAGACATTTTCATTTTGAAAGAGTTTAGGAAAGTGAGGCGATTTGTGGCCAAGTTCCAAATCTGAAGACAAAACAAAACAAGACATCTTTAACTTCCTTCAACTGCTTCAGGACACACAGGTGACACCGGACATAGGAAGGCAGCTACAGATTTAAAAGGAAAGCAACGTTCAGACTTCCTCCTTGACGCCTGTGATCTGAGAACCACTGATTTCCTGAAACCAGGACCAGACTGTTACCAACAATCCCATCTTTAATATGAAATGCAAAGGATGCCAAACGAAACCACACTGTGTTTAGGGAAGTGGCTTGTGAGGCGAGACCGAGAGGAAGAGCAGGGGAAGAGTCACACGGAGTCAGCGGGGCGGCAAGTTCCCTCTGGGGAGGGCCGGTGCGGCCAGGGGTGCATTCCAGGTCCCGGGGTCACTTACCCTGGGGGGTGGGGGTGGGGGGCCGTACAACTATGTGTGTTAGGACTTCACAGACAGGTTTTATACATCCTTGTGCGTGTGCGTTCTATAATAAAGTTTAACAGGAAGGGAGGGAGGAAGCGTCAGTGCAGCAAGTGGCCAAACTGCTGATGAGACCCAGGGCACCCAGGCTCAACCCCCCGGGGCTCCCTGACCAGCCCTCCAGGCCCCCGCCGCTGATTACCTCTCTTCTCTCTTCTCTCTCTGAAAAATTAATTCCTACAGTCCCTCACTCGGGGATTAGGAAAAGGGAAACAGGGCCTATTAGTTCTTTTTAAGTGAGAAGAAGGTTCTAGAAAGAGGTATTTAGGCTGACTTCAGCTTGACTGCCTGGACCCACGGGAAAAAGCCCACTGACGGCGCCCTCCTCGGGGGAAGCAGGGGCGGGAGAAGAGGAAAGCCGGCAACAACGCGACACCTCGCCAGCGACATGTAAGTCTATCTTTCATCACTAAGCCTAAAGCAACTGGGTACAGAACAACTTTTAGGCAAAAACAGGGGAGAATAAGAAGATAGATTTAAAAGTTCATAAACTTGGCAGGAGACGCTAAAACTACCTCCAGCCGTTCCCGGGTCGGGAAACTGAGGAAATAAAGACTGGACAGAGGAGACCTTCGCAAGAGCTGGACCTTGCCTATGCACATGGATCTATCTTTTAACCATATGAGCGTGGTGCCGATTTTTAAAATTAAATCAAAGCGAAACGAGGCAGTACCGTGCCCTAGTCTCTTCCTCCCCCCACAAAACGCCCTCCTAAACTTTCTTCCTTGGAGCCTATATTCAGAAATGTTTCTCTCCTTAAAGCAAGGCCACACATTATTAGGAATCTGGCTCCAAAATGCTGTACCTTAAAGAAATTGTTATGAAAGTTTTTTCAAGTTTCCAGTTATATGAAGATGCAAGACAACAAGGCTGAATTACACAAATTACATTTAGAGGCGAGAATGAACAGACCGGTTAGGAGGGCACTGGCTTGGAAAGCTCCGATGAAGGTGCCGGACCTTTCTCTTCAGTTTTTTCAATTCTGCACACGATTATAGCTCACGCCCCCAGACCGATTTTGAGTTGGTTTCTAAGCTCCCCTTTCTAGGGTGAGATTCTCCCAGAAGACGGCCAACAGTCCAGAAAAATGGTCCTTCAGCCTGGAGGTAGCCTGCTGGGGGCCTGGGCACCGGGTGGGAGCCTGGGAGGAGCCTGGTGGCGGCCTGGCATGGGCCTGGGGGGGGCCCTGGAGGGAGCCTGGCGGGAGCCCGGTGAGGCGTGCCTGCTGAGCCCTGTGGGGCATGGGGTGGGGGCGGCAGTCCGGGTCCCCTGCAGCTGCGTCTTTCTTTTCCTTCTCCAAACACTTCCCATTTCAAACAACTACCTCAATAAGCACCCTGAGAACCTTAAGCTCCCTTTCAGCTCTAAAATTCCTATTATTTCTTTCTAGATCACAGGGTAAAAAAACAAAAATTTCCACAAAGAAAAAAGAAATTTAGGAAGCTGCCTCCACTTAAAGGCTCCTGAAATGCCATTTCTCCCTCGAGGTCAGGAACCCCGACGGCGTGCGGCCCCACCTCTCTGGACGGACTCCTCCCACTGGGCACTGACCCGGGCTCCCACACGGACAGCTCAGCTTCATCTCTAAACCAACTTGACTGGGGATGCACATGGGCCACGGCCGCCCAGGCAGAAACCCCCCAGGGTACCTTCCCCACCGCCTGCAACCCGGGGAACCTTCTGAGGAAGCACTCGGACAATTAAAACCAAGTGCACCACAGAGGGAGCGGAGATCATGGCGAGGAACAGGTGCACTCACGGGATCGATACCAAGAGGGTAAGGGCCTTGGAACACTCCAGGAATGCTCGGGTCCAACTGCAAAACCCTGTTGTGCCTGACGACGCTGTCACTGTAACAGAAAGCAGAGTGAGCAGACTGACCTAGCGGAGGCCGGAGGAACCTCCGAGAAGCGCTTTCCGACCTAAAACACCGCTGGGTAACACACACTTACTTCCAGAGCCCCATCTTCTTCTGCTCCGCAGGGGTGTGGCTGGAACTGTACATGGCTGACACGCTCCACCCAGAGCCGAACAGGTTGACCGACTTTGAAAAGCAGTCGTTGTAGATGAGGCCCGTGTACACGGAGAACAGCCCCATCAGCAGGAGGATGTATCGGCCATTGAAAAACATGCGCATGATCTGTGAAAAGCAGGGCAGGTGAGCAGAGGGGAACCGCGCGAAATCGCAGGAGCGGGACCCACGTGGGCCTGGGACTTCTCAGAGGGCTGGCGTGGGGGGCGTCGCCGTCACACAGAGACCACAGGCCCGCACCCCTTACGGCTCCGTCCTACAGTGACGCTTACTGCCAAAAAATGACATTTAAGATCATCCCTGCTAACTACCCAACCAGACGTGAGGAGCTGCGGTGTTTGTAGTCTCACCTCTTGTGACTGATTTAGTCTGGGGTGGTTTTCATTTAACACCAGCAAGAGGGCAAACAAGAACATCACGAAGCCATGTCCGAAGTCTCCGAACATCACGGCGAACAGAAAGGGGAAAGTGATGATGGTGAAGAGAGCTGCGGGGAGAGCAAGACGCTTGACTCACCGGAGGCAGAAAATTCTAGTTAATTCCAACACCCGACCTTCTCCAGAATTCTCAAAAGAGAACAGACAGGTTCAAGGGAGCATTTTACACTCAGGACAACGACACAACAGCAGCAGCGAGCCTGTTTCCCCAACGCCTGTCACAGCGTCGTGGGGAGAGGCAGCGGCAGTGGCGCACGAGGCAGGAGGATGGACGAGGTCACACCGCCCACCTGGGTTCACTTCTCTGTAGCTCCCGACTCCATAGGCGTCCACAATGTTCTGAAAGCCCTCGGTGAATTTGTTGGTGCGGATTAGAGTCGGGGGGGTTTCTTTTGTTGGGATGGTGTTCATAAATGAGGGGATTGTAGCACCGCTCTCTCTCTTTCACATAAAAAGAAAGAAAGGAAAAATTAGTACCCAAAATCCCGTTCCACGACCACGGGCTCCCTGCTACGGCGAGGCTCTGCGTGGCCACGCGGACAAGTGCCAACCACCCTCGGAGGCTCACGGGCAGAGGGGGTGACAGCAGGAGTCGGGGGGTGGCGCCGGGGGGCTGCAGTCCTGCAGAAGAGTATGGTGGCCAGGCTGCAAGGACGGGAAAGCGGACAGAGGGGCTAGGGATGACAGGGACAGGTGGATGACGTGGTCTCAGAATAACGAACATAAAACTGAAATTTAATATTATGCCTCATGAAAACATTCAAGAGGAATCTGGAGACAACTACAGTATCTAATAAAACCGAAAAATAGACAAGAATAATCGTCAATCCCAATGAGGGCTTGATCCCGGGAACCGGGAGATCATGACCTGAGCTGAGATGAAGATTCGGACGCTTAACCGACTGAGCCGCCCAGGCGCCCCCCTTGAGTATCTTAAACAGGTTCTGCAGAGCTAATATACAAACAGACGATGTATTTACATTATATGTAACATAGAGTTCCCTTTAGTATCTCAAACGTATATTCTTATGTATGAACATACGTTATGTCTAACACAGAATTTCCTTGAATATTTAAACACGTTTCAGAAAACTAATTTCATTTAAAAGTGATCAAAAGAAGAATGCAGGTCAGACTTTTATATAAAGTTGTATTTAAAAAAAAAAGCAAAAAAAAAACTGAGCAGAACATCCCTCTGAACAATGAAAGCATGCCAGAAAGACATACTCACAGAAGAGATGACAATTTAACTTACTATATCAAAGTGAGCAGAAACATTACAAAAATAATACCTGATATGAAAAAAAAACCCACAAAGCAGAATAAGAGTCTGAAATGAGGTGACAGAACTCAGAAAAGTATTAGAAGAAAAAGAAAAAAATATGCAGAAACGGGACAAAACTAGAAAAAACTCCAAGGTGAAGACACCTTCCTAGTAATAATGCTGCAAGAGAAACAGACAAAAGAATGGAAATTTTTAAAAATCAAAAAGTAAAGAAAGACAAAAAGGATTCAAGGAAAAGTGACAAACACTGAAGATAAGAAGGTTTAACTTAAACAGAACAGCAGGTCCCGAAGGAGAAAACCAGAGCAAGAGAACAGAACAAATACTAAAAACTATAGTTGAGAATTTTTCTGAAACTTTTTTTAAAACTACATATTGAGAGAACACACCGTATATCTGAAAATACCAACCCGGAATAACAGAATCAACACACAGTCTAGTAAAATCACTGAAAAAAATCCTTAAGCGTGTGGGCAAAAAAAAAGAAAGTACCAAGACTTATAAGGAAAATTCTATTAATATCAGGCTTTTTTGTTAGCAACGCCATGCCAGAACAAAATGGAATCACATGTTTAAGACACCCATGGAAAACAACAACAAAAATTTTAAAACACGAGCCCAGGATTTTATTTCCAAACAACAAACTTCCGATTATAAAGGCAGGAGGCATACACTACTACGAACACGGGAGAACTCAGGGAGCACTGTTCCCACGAGCCCCTGCTCAGGACTCGGAGAACACACTTCAGACAGCCAGAGCGGCTACAGCACCCAGAGACAATGGAAGCACCAGAACTGCTGATGTCCCCAGCAAACTCCCTCCCAGTGGCAGCAAAAGGCATGGTCTAGACATCAGCCAACCCACAGGTACATGTGATGCAGGGTGACTGTCTGGTTTTCAGCAACGAGGAAATGTGGTAATTGGCTGGTCATGTCTACGCAAGCCAGCCCTCTTCCAAAAAAAAAAGTAAAAGTCCATTTGTGCCGTCAAAGAATTATGTGACGAAACGTGACTAACCAAAAAAACCTCATATGAAAACTTGCTTCCTTAGCTGTCACTTGAAACATGTAAACCTACTATTTCTAATGAAGAACTGGGTTTTGATGCAGGAAAAAAAAACTCACAGGAACATGGCAGACTGACACCATGGCCCGGGAGTCAGGCGCTGGAGCCTACTCTTCAAAGTTCAGAAGCCATACAAGCGAATTGATAAGTTCAACTATATTTAACAAAAAATTACTGCATGACCAAAGCAAGCCAACAAACAGAAACATCAGAAGACGAGTGGCAAATTGAGGACAATATTTTTTCTCATGTCACAAAGAGCCAACAGAAATTAGTAAGAAAAAAACCAACAAACCAGTAGAAAATGGGCAAAGCAAAAAATAATAATAATTTAAAAAAAGGGGGGGGCGCTTGGGTGGCTTAGTCCGTTGGGCGTCTGACTTTGGCTGAGGTCATGATCTCGCGGTCTGTGAGGTCGAGCCCCACGTCAGGCTCTGCGCTGACAGCTCAGAGCCGGGAGCCTGTTTCAGATTCTGTGTCTCCCTCTCTCTCTGACCCTCCCCCGTTTATGCTCTGTCTCGGTCTCAAAAATAAATAAACGTTAAAAAAAAATAATAAAAAAAAATAAAAAGAAAATGGGCAAAGCAGAAAAACACAGAGCTCATTAAAAAAGGAAAATTCAAATGGCTCTTATTTTCTTTTAATTTTAATTTTTTTTTTAAATGTACATCCAAATTAGTTAGCATATAGTGCAACAATGATTTCAGGAGTAGATTCCTTAGTGCCCCTTACCCATTTAGCCCATCCCCCCTCCCACAACCCCTCCAGTAACCCTCAGTTTGTTCTCCATATTTATGAGTCTCTTCTGTTTTGTCCCCCTCCCTGTTTTTATATTATTTTCGTTTCTCTTCCTTTATGTTCATCTGTTTTGTCTCTTAAAAGTCCTCATATGAATGAAGTCATATGATTTTTATCTTTCTCTGACTCATTTCACTTAGCATAATACCCTCTAGTTCCATCCACGTAGTTGCAAATGGCAAAAAGATTTCATTCTTTTTGATTGCTGAGTAATACTCCATTGTGTGTGTGTGTGTGTGTGTGTGTGTGTGTGTGTGTGTGTGTGTATACCACATCTTCTTTATCCATTCATCCACCAATGGACATTGGGGCTCTTTCCCTACTTTGGCTATTGTCCATAGCGCTGCTATAAACATTGGGGTGCGTGTGCCCCTTCGAAACAGCACACCTGTATCCCTTGGATAAATGCCTAGTAGTGCAATTGCTGGGTCCTAGGGTAGTTCTATTTTTATTTTTTTGAGGAACCTCCATATTGTTTTCCAGAGTGGCTGCACCAGTTTGCATTCCCACCAGCAGTGCAAAAGAGATCCTTTTTCTCCGCATCCTCGCCAACATCTGTCGTTGCCTGAGTTGTTAATGTTAGCCATTCTGACAGCTGTGAGGTGGTATCTCATTGTGGTTTTGATTTGTATTTCCCACATGATGAGTGAC